AAAACAAAAGCAAAAATCTGGCTGGCACTACAAAATCATCCTGGTGGTAGTTAGGTGCCGGGTTTCGACTTATAGCGACCCTGTACAGGGTTTCCAAGGCTGTAAACCTTTACGGGAGCAGAAAGCCTCATCTTTCTCCCACAGAACAGCTGACCTTGTGGTTCATAGCCTAATTCATAACCTAATTCATAACTATGCTACCAGAGCTCCTGGTCATCCTACCACATCATCCTAGTATCCTAATAATAGTATCCTAATCCTTGGTGTTGTTAGGTGCCATCGAGTCGATCCCGACCCATAGCGCCCCTGTATAGGGTTTCCGAGGAGCAGCTGGTGAGCTTGAACCTCTGACCTTGCAGTTCAAATGGCTTTGCAGTCTGGCGCATTAACCCACAGTGCCACACCAGGACTCCATCCTAATCCTAGTATCCTAATAATTGGAAGGAAATGTAGAGGTCATTGCAATCATCTCTCTCATTTTACAGATTGTTGCCACTGATGTTGTCTGCTATAGAGTCAGTCGGTTCCATCTCATAGCAACCCTGTATAGGAGCTGGCGGGTCTGAACTTCCGATCTTGAGGTTAGCAATCTGGTGCTTATGCCACTCCAGGACTAAGGAAACTAAATAAGTCAATGGAGAGAAAATGGCTTATCTATCACCACAAAGCCACTTCAAAACTAAATCTCCTGACTCTTACTCACCATTCTTTCCTCTATACCATGCTGTCTGTAAAGAAGAAGAAAAGCTGCCACATGGGATGGCCAAGGGCTTTATTGTCATCACATCAGGGGGGATAAAAGGTGAGCAGGTTGGGATCTCAGTCCTTGAAGTAAGGTCCTGGACCCACAGTCTGGCTGCCAGCTTGCTTGTTCTCAGACTACACTTGCAACAGCTGACAGTCTTTCCAACAATACAGCTGGATGTCTTTTCTCTGGAGCTTTTGGTTTGATGTGATCAAGTTTGATGTCTAGTAGCTACTGCCCAGAATGAGGCCCTCGAAAGGTCACACAGCAGTGTACTTCCAGGCTTCAGAGAAACACAGGACTTGCCTCCCCCATGGATGAGGGAAATGATACCTTTCTTCTTCCTGATTCCAAACCGGCATATTCTTGAATGGATTATCACACACATGCCTAAAAAAGTGATTACAGGTAGCAAGTACATTTAAACCCTGTGGTTTTTACCTTCCAAGTTTTGCCCAATCTCAGTATATAGAGAAAACTCCAGACTTACCTATCCAAAACTACCTAACATATTGTGTGACTCACATTTACATTTTAGTGTTTGCAGAGAACAAAATTTCTAACTGAAATTATTTTGAAAGTCTTCTATAGCTATTAAGAAAGCTATAATAAACACAGGAGTGATATTCAGCCTGCCTGCTGTAAAGACTTGTATATAAATTCCAATAAAATGCTAAAAGTTAACCTCCTCTGTCATCATAACCATGAACATATAATAAATTATCCCATTTTACTTCCATGCCAAAAATCTTTCATGGTCTCCCCACTGCTATCAGACTAAGGCAAACACCCTTTGGCAATTCAAAACTCCATGATAATGCAGTTTAAATTCTACTCTCATCTTCTTCTTCTCCCTCATATCTTGCCTAATGTCCTAAGCAAGGGGGACTAACTGTATATGAAGGATCTGAATGAATCTGATTCCCAAAGTGTCTAACTGGATCGAATTCTCATCTTCCCATTTCTTCATGCTCACCACCAGCTGCTCATGCAAAACTCTTGCTCAGCCCCAGCCATCCAGGGCCATGTTAGAGCCCTTAAGTCAGAAGGACACCTTCTTTCAGTCCCAGCCACTAAGAGTGAGGTCAGAGCCCACACATTAGAAGGACACCTTCTTTCAAACTGCTAAACAGGCAGATGTCAGCACCTGCTTGCTCTCACTGGCCCTGTGTGTTCATTAATTCACTGTAATAACTCACAGAAGTCACAGAAAGCATACCATACTGACAACAGATCTATTACAACTAAAAAATACAAAGAGATGCACAGGATGAAATATAGGAGGAGTCGCAGCATGAAACTTCCTTGTCCCAAAGAGGGATGCACTATGTGCATGGTCACCAACCAGGAAGCTCCTTCCCCTGACACCCCCCTGCCCCCTGACACACACACATACACACACTGCCTCACTATATGGCTGTGATAAATTACATCATATAACATGAGGCTTATTCAGTACTGACCCAGTAAGTCTTTGTTATTTTATCAGCCTAGCACTTGGCCATGATAGATTGTATCATGCCTCTTGAGTATTTAGTTACCATCAGGCCCTCCAGAGGTCTCTCTTGGTCTACTTAGCACCCATTAGTTAACTTCAGGTACTGGTGAGGCTCTCAAAGTAACTGAGAACAAAAGCCAAATGCTTTTCAAGGTGATTCCATACCTCACATCTATGTGTCCCACCCCCACATTCTAAATCCATCATGTTGTTGTTGTTGTTAAGTGTCGCCAAGTCGGTTCTGAATCATACCAACACTGTATAGGGTTTCTGAGGAGCAATTGGTGGGTTTGAACTGCCGACCTGTGGTTTGCAGTCTAGTACTGGCCCTATAGTGCCACAGTAGGAATCTAATAGTCATCATATCTATTACAAATTCCTATTCTATTTTCCATATTCTCCTCCCCAACAGGTGAATATCCAATTATCTTTTAAGGCCTATAAAGGATTACTTGCTTCTCTGACCCATTCCAACTTCAGCATATTTCTGAAACTTTATGTCATTGCTCATTAGGTATATACCTTATAGCAGTGAATTATTTATTAATGCCTCTTCTAGCATTCTAGACTCCTACCAAATGACTTTTTTCTTCATGCTGTTGTGGTTGTTGTGAAGTGTCATCGAATTGGGTCCAACCCATAGCAACCCTGTATTTCTAGGGAGCAGCTGGTAAGCTTACCACCGACCTTGCGGTTCAAATCGATTTTGCAGTCCAGCACATTAATTCACAGTGTGGCACCAGGACGGGAAGGAGAGATGCTGATAGATGATATGACTCACTAGTGAGTGACTGCTAACAGGCTTGTGATTGCAAACACTTGGAAAGCTACCATCTTGCTGGATTTTAAATGAGCCATCTCAGGAGCAGGAAGAGAGCTCTCCTTATCATCCAAAAAGTAGAGCATATCCACTGTACCCCAAGATCCCTGTGCTGTGAACCTCCCAGACCAAGGGACAGAAAGTTGTGACATCGGAGGAGTGGCAGAAAAACAGGAGCAGCAGAACCAAGAGCCAGGGCACCAGAGGAAGCAGTGGACTTCCCAATGGACAGGCCAAGTAAACTTAAGTGCCTTGCAGAGTTGGGTACCTCAAGGCATTTACTTGGTAGAGCCAGGTTTGTTGACCCACACAGCTAGAACTTAGTACCTTCAGGCTGAGACTTAAGTGGAGTGATATGCCCTGTGGACATTTATCAACGTTTATCAGAGAGAGGTCTGTGTATGGGCATGGCTGAGGAAAAGTGGTCTTTATTGGAATAACTGTGCCCTAAACATTTCTGAATTGTTATCTTCTCTAATAAACCCCATAACTGTAAGTATGGTGTTTGGGTTCTGTGTGGCCATTGAAATGAATTGTGGATCATAGATGAGAAGTAGAGAGTAAAGTGTGCAGTGGTTTGGTGCCATACATTTCTGCATATCTATATCAGCAACAACAACATCATAACAAATGGAGTCCTGGTGTGGTGCTGTGGTCTAATACATCAGACTGCAAAGTCGTTTGAACTGCAAGATCAGTGATTCAAGCTCACCAGCTACTCCCTGGAAACCCTATACAGGGTCGCTATGGGTCAGAAACAACACAATGGCACTTAACAATCATAACAAGTGGACTTCTGGTGTGGCGCTGCCAGTTAATGTGGTAAGCTGCAAAGTCGGTTTGGATCGTAAAGGCCGGCAGTTCCAACTCACCAGATGCTCCTCAGAAACCCTGTACAGGATCGCTATGAGTCAGATCCCAACTCGACCGCACCTAACCACAACAACAATCATAACAAATGAGTCCTTGTGTGGCACTGTGGGTTAATGCACTTAACTACAAAGTCGGTTTGAACCGCAAGGTCAGCGGTTCAAGTTCACCAGATGCTCCCTGGAAACACAATACAGGATTGCTATGGGTCAGAACCGACTTGACGGCACTTAACAACAACATCATAACAAATAACAATTTAATTTGTTTGGTTTGTTGCTGCTGTTGTTTTTTCATCTATCCCCCGTGTCAAATTGTTTGTGTGCTTCTAGCTTATAGTACCATACCTGACATAGGGTAGATACTTAAAAAGGCTAGATGGATGGATGAATGGATAGATAAGTAGAAGGAAGAAAAGAAGAATGGAAGGAAGAAAGAAAGGAAGAGACTGGATAAACAGACAGGAAAACGAATAGACTGATTAAAAAAGAAAAAATTCATCTTTCCCCATGTAATCTAGGATTTCATTCCTCTCAAAAAAGGAATATCTTAACAGTCTTAACCTTCCATATTATCATAAGTATATATAAGATGGTGATTGTGGTTACATGCCAATGAATCAGTTCCGACACTCATAGCAACCGTGAATAGGATTTCTGAGGATAGAAATCTTTTACAGGAGCAGATACTCTCATCTTTCTCTCAAGGAGTAACCTTGCTGTTCGCAGTTCAACTCATAACCCACTAGGCTACCAGAGCTCCATAAGTATATAAGATAAATATACTTCTTTTCCAAATTGAGTATGTTTCCTGGGTATTCTTTTTTAAAAACAACTAAACAACTTTGGAATCCAGCTACATATTGTGGCTCTAAGATTCTCTCACTAATGACTAGAAAATAAACTCTAGAGGGTTTATGCTAGTCTGCACTTTCCATTCCAGATCGATTCCCAAACTGCTAATAATCTCCACCATCTCTGAAACTCACTGAAAAAGTGGCCTGGACATTATTCAACAGTGTTAACTGGCCTGATTATAGAATCGAATCATGAAAAAAAACTACTTACAGCATAAGCACCTATCAAAAATGCTGCGTTTGCTCTTTTCCGTTGATCAAAACAGGTGTAGTGCACTATTTTCTTTCTTGATAAACTGTATGACTAGATAAAGGGAGAGAAAGAGTTAGTGTTACCACAGAGATAATGTTGAAATACACAAAAGATAAACTGCATCTCTTAACTTTTAAAGGCAATGTCACAAGCCATGAAGCTTAACTTTCAACCTCAGTTCTATAGTCTTTGGGCATGAGAATTTGAGGGTTAGGCATCACTAACTCAGGCTTCCTACAGGCTATTCACGATGTCAAGCAGTCAGTTCCAACACACAGCAATCCTGTATAGTCTTTCCAAAGCTTTAAATATTCTTGGGAGCAGAAAGCCTCATCATTCTCCCACAGAGCAGACAGTAGGCTCGAACGCAGACAGTGTGGTTCGTAATCCAATGCTTATCCTCTAGAGCCAATGCGCTCCAATTCATGACGTAACAGTTCACAATATAACAAATTCATTTCTCTTTAAAAAATTGATAAAATGAGAAATAATAAAATTAATGGAAGCTCTATGAATAGGATGATTTGTTCTTTACAGCTAACTTGATTTCGTATGCAAACTTTACTCATCCCTTTTTATTCCCTACTCTCCTCCATCCCCACTCGCAGAAAAAATTATCTACACTTTTCATATTATACAATTTTTATTCAAATGTATCAACCAATCTATCTCTAACAAAAAAATCATTAGATACCTATATTAGCTAGAGCAATAATACTATGATAACCCGTTTAAATGTCAAAAAATAAATGGCTAATGGAAAAAGATAAACCATGAAAAGGATCACATTAGCAACTGTTTTAATACAGTATAATTTTGTATTGTGAAGTCTCGTTGACTCAGTTCCGACTCATAATGACCCTATATAGGGTTTCAGAGGAGCAGCTAGTAAGCTTTAACTGCTGACATTGCGGTTCAGCACATTAACCCACAGCGCAACACTAGGACTCCAATACAACATATTGTTGTTGTTAAGTGCCATCGAGTCGGTTCCGACCCATAGCGACCCTGTATAGGGTTTCCTAGGGTTTCCAAGTAGCAGCCGGTGAGCTTGAACCGCCAACCTTACAGTTCAAATGGCTTTGCAGTCTGATGCATTAACCCACAGCACCACACCAGGACTTCAATACAACATAGTGGTGGTGGTGGTGGTCATGTGCCCTGGAGTCTGTTCCGACCCATAGCCACCCTGTACAGGGTTTCTGAGGCTGTAAATCTTTACGGG